GTTTGTTGTGTATACCGAAGTCACGTTTCGTGAGTCAACACTGTTACTTTTATAGGCTTGTCAACAACTGCTTGTAATTATTTGCGGTTTTACCAGATCTACTAAAAACGGGAAATAGTTGTACTTTTAAAATTGTACCTAGCTGTTACGCACTCAGCCAGTACATTTTAAACAACATAAGTATGTACAGGCACCAAGCACTTACAATTACAACGTCCCGCGTAAAGGGCTAGATCACGTGGTTGATCACTTTTTCTGAACAAAAAGGCTATAACGTGGTCCACGTTTGCCATAGAAATGTATGAATCAATACTGTGATTCTTTATAGAACCAATACGTTGATTAGCATGGTCGTATCAAAGGCAAAGGGGCCCCGGATAAAGGGGGGGGGGGCGCAGCTTACCCTAGAAGTTTTTCAATTTCGCTTGCATGCGTGTATAACACGCACACAATACAAACGCGCACACAAGCATACATAAGGTATGATTGAATACCCCCCCCCCTCCAGTAATGATTTCTGACTACGCTACTGTTGATTGGGATGCTGTTCGAAGCACTGACAGACATCGCTTATTATATCGCTGCAGATATCTGAATGCAAAAAGCAAGGAGAGCTTGACTACAACGAAATTATATTCATATGATATTACGTATTGTGCATCGAACGTGAACAATAGTGAAAGAGTGGATTGCTGACTCGTTTGCAAGTTGTATTCAGATTTTATTCCACTGCAATCACGGGGAAACTGTATTTTACGTATCTTTCATTGCATATTCAAGTGGTCTAACTGGCCCTGCGGGTATATCGTAGTAGTTGGGAAAGTTTAGGGGTGTACTTTCAAGAACTGCTGTTTTGATCAGCCTTTGCCATGAACGGCCGGCTAAATCGCACAAAAGTCTGGCTGATATCATGTATTCCTAGTATAGTGGTATAGAGTGGGTTTTCTTTGAGGTTTTCTTTTTTGTAAGTTGAAAACGCAATTTCAAAATAAGATCTCATAATACTCAGATGTGTCTACGAACTATTTTTGAGAACCACACTCACTAGCCTCCGTATCTCGTCGACATTTTGAATGTTCTCAGGCAAACTGAAAAACGTCCGTTTCGTTTTCGCATTATACTATTACACAGTGAACCGAGCTTGATTGACTTCATTGAACCCCCTTGACAGTGTGGGAAAGTGCAAATCGCTGTTTAAAATACTGTGGCCTTGAGCAAAGTATCCCTAAAAAGAAACAGCAAAATGCTTATGAAACTGTTTTTTTACGATAATTGGATTCTTTGTACTTTATTAGTCGCGAAATTTTCACCGTCTATTAAATGTTTTTGCCATCTATTACGGTTTTTACTGTCTTCACCATCTATTGACGGCGCCCGGTTTTCATGTTGCGTATATACAATGCAATAAATAACTGAACAAAAAAAGAAATAAAACGCGTTACCAAAACATTGATCGAATTACCAGAAATCACTTTCTGAAAAACTCGTACGTATATTTGTTGTATTCTACGGAATAATTTTACAGGCCGACCCTTAATTTACCCCGCACGGACATTTGATATATTTACTCTCGGAAGATGGTCAGGGCAGTTCATGAAAACGCATGTGTGACATGCCGGCGGTCAGGATAACCGTTTCATGACTTTTGAACGGCGCGATCCATATATATATATATATATATATATATATATATATATATATATATATATATATATATATATATATATATATATATATAATATATATATATATATATATATATATATATATTTATGGGCACTCCGCGCTACCCCACCCATCAGTTTATCGGAGAGCAGTGGCATGCACCTCCAACGTGATCTAGTGTCCATTCACCCAACCGCCATATTGCACATTTCTGTGGGACAGCGCCATATAGGAAGCTAGACGATAAATGGTGATGAAAGAAAGAATGAAACGTTTATTAAGATTTTCTGTGCGTGTAGATCGGCGAGTGGAATTCTTAGTTCAGGATCCCATCGGCGATGATGACTCAGAATACGTACATCACCATCTAGTATATTGTCACCCAACTGCAGTTGCACACATCTCTATGGAACAGTGCCACCATCTATTGTATGGTAAGGGAGACGCTACTGTGTACGCCGCAGGGACGAGGGATTGCCCTTGACCATAAAGAGCTTCGCCCCTAAAACAAGATCAAGTCCTGACTTGGCCGTTTTATGACTCTCTTGAATGTAGATTAATGGTTCGGCGACAAATCATTTCATTAACTACATGATATATTGGCGCCTGAATGCCGTAAAGAGACTCGGTGACAGAGCTGAAAGAGAAGAGTATATATGGCGCTACACACTCAACTTTTGAGAGCAAAGCTCTTCAGGTTTTTCGTTGCGCCGGGTATAGTGGCAACAGGATCTACCACCACGAACCGGTGCGCACTCGCTTCATCTTCATGAACTTCCACTTCGTGGCCGCAGGAGATGTACCGATTTGTCTGGCGCGGAATACTAATTCTATTGGGCGAGTCTGCTAGGTAGCTAAAAATCATGTAATATCACGTGACGACTGGTTACGAGACTCAAGTCGCGTAGCATCGCGTAACAACAGGTTGCGAGACTAAAATCACTCACCATCTCGCACTAGCTAGTCATGTCACATGTTCCCGCTATAAACCTTGCAACATCTAGTCAGGTGACTAATATCACAGCATTATGTAACAGGTAGACACCTGTTATGTATAGCCAAGTCTAGCCATGCTTATTTATACTAGCAAAAACTTATCTCTAGCAAAGTCTCAATACCTATAGCTAGGTCGAACACTAGCTCCGCTGATGGTTCCAGCATTGCGTCTGTAGCTGCGCACATTGGGCTGTAGCTACGATTTTTTTTTCATTTGGCATAAAGCTTTTACAGGTGCGTATAGCACACGTAATCTCGACATTAGGGGGTGACAGAATGCAAACGACGAATCTTGTTTACGACGAACTTGGCAATTTCGTTTACGCATTCGGATTCCGCATTTTTCACTGACAAGTGAAGTGAGGTCACTGCCATGCCCATGATTTACTTCGTGTTGTGAATTGGCGGCTGCACTCTGTACTGGCGCCTCGTTTCAAACTGGGCAGCGACAAGCAACAGCGAGCACGGAATGGAACCGGGTCGCCAGATGTCGAGGGCTATATTCTACGCGTGTCGCCCTGTTTTCAGCCTGGCCTGCAAGACCCGCCATTCACCTTCCCACTGTGCATAACAATATAGCTCGAGGGGGAGCCGAAGGGATTTCGTTTCAAATATGCGACGTCCTTACGGGAGAGACGTGGAAAAAAAGCTCAATAATATATATACGTGTATGTCTACCCTGTTATAACGGGCATTTCGATATGAATGAGGCAAGACAGCACACGCGAGATAACCGTGGTTCTAGACATCAAACTGAATATAGCATAGAATCAAATTAGATATGTGAAATTAGTATCAGCACAGGGTGTGCGCAGGGTTCCCCGTTAGGGGTAGTCAAGTTTCTCCGTAGTTAGAGTAAATGTATAACTTTATGCAGTGACCATAGCCGGTACTGCACATGCTACCGTTGTAGCATGTCCAGTAACTGTAGCCGCCTAGTTTTCTCCGCCCCTCGCACTGGTCGAGTCCGAAATAGAATGAGCTCCTAAATGGCACACAGCTGCTTGGCAGCGCTGTGCTATTTCTGGCAAGCTTACTGTCACCAAATCGTTTCTATTATACCTAATTCTTTACGAAGAAGTCTTATCGTTTTTTTTGTGATGACCGAACTGTAGATAAGACACTTTTTTTTAACAGACGTCGTCTTCAATCTAAGTCATTCATAGAACTGTACCAACAAGGATCCGCAAAGCACTACAGTTGCTATTCGTGGAGGCTCCGTTGGAAAACCTGTCTACGAAGTCCACAATCAATGTTTCACACTTTGACACTTTCTTAGAGGTATACGCATAAATGATCTTTCTCACGATGATCTCGAATAGCTACTAAGAGAAGGGCCCAACAAGGGCGTCTTTAGTGTTACTTGGGAACCGCATTCAAGAAAAATTGAACTAACTTGTTTAAGGACTGAACTGCGTCTTCTTACATATCCTAGATATGTTTTGAACATTCGCCATGCTTCAAATTATCATACACGTAGTCATTTGTGTGTTTAGGCCTACAGAAGGGCAATCATGAACGTTGTTGAAAGGACGTTATGGGAATGTTAGTGTCACAGGCCCAGTGCTATGACAAAACACGCTAAAACAGCACTGGTTCGCAAAACTTCACCCAAATTCTTCGGCGTGTCATAATCGGCAAGATTAGATGTTTTAGTCTTTAAACTGCAAATTGCAATGCAGCAGGTCGTTCACTATGGCTTACGGTATCCGAACGAAGTTCGCATGTAGAAATCTTGAGAATGTAGCAACGTGTAGGACGGACTTGAAACTTTTATGACCGAATGACAGTTCTGCGCCAGTGATACTGCCATACACCGCTATAAAAAAGTGTGTAAGAAAATAACCATGACAAAGTTATGCTGCTTCGCTCAAGTAATGCTGTTTACAGCAATTTCCGAATTGTAGCAATAGCTGGACATGGATACGAAATGGTTATGGGCATGTACGACGGTTTATTTCTTCCAATTTCATGCAGACAGCAGCACATGTCAATGAGGTACATGGTGCAGTTAAAGGCTGCCACATAGGCACATAAGATCAATTTTAGGATGTAAAAATAAAACTTGCCACAGCGAATTTCTTGTTGCACAACCTTGAAACAAGCTCATAGCGCGTTCACTGAAGGCAGTCACACCACAGCTAACGCCAAACTGTTGCACATCGTTCGATAGATTTACTACGGCTTGGGTATAATGTGTGTGCCGCATGGGTACAATGGCTCAGCGGATAGCATGTCGGAATCGCCGAACAAGATAGCTCAGACGTCCCAGCCATATCTGGGCAAATTTATTTGACGGTTCCAGGTGTCGAGGCCATCATGTCCTTGGTAGTCGTAGCCTATTCTTTGCCCCCAGACTCCGCCTTGTCCAGAGCCTTGACCGGAGCATTGACCGCCACCCTAGCCACCGCCTTGTCCAGAGCCTTGGATGCCACCCCAGCCTCCGCCTTGTCCAGAGCCTTGACCGGACCCTTGGATGCCACCCCAGCCTCCACCTTGTCCAGAGCCTTGAATGCCACCCCAGCTTCCGCCTTGTCCAGAGCCTTGAATGCCACCCCAGCCCCCGCCTTGTACAGAGCCTTGAATACCACTCCAGCCCCCGCCTTGTACAGAGCCTTGAATACCACTCCATCCCCCACCTTGTCCAGAGCCTTGACCGGAGCCTTTGCCGCCGCCCCAGCCCCCGCCTTGTCCAGAGCCTTCACCTCCACTCCAGCCTCCGCCTTGACCGGAACCTTGCCCAGAGCCTTGGCCTCCACTCCAGCCTCCACCTTGACCGGAACCTTGGCCAGAGCCTTGGCCTCCACTCCAGCCTCCACCTTGACCGGAACCTTGGCCAGGGCCTTGGCCTCCACTCCAGCCTCCACCTTGACCGGAGCCTTGGCCGGAGCCTTGGCCGCCGCCCCAGCCTTGTCCAGAACCTTGGCCGGAGCCTTGGCCGCCACCCCAGCCCCCGCCTTGTCCAGAACCTTGACCGGAGCCTTGACCGCCGCCCCAACCTCCGCCTTGTCCAGAACCTTGACCTCCGCCTTGGCCGCCGCCCCAACCTCCGCCTTGTCCAGAACCTTGGCCGGAGCCCTGGCCGCCGCCCCAACCTCCGCCTTGTCCAAAACCTTGGCCGGAGCCCTGGCCGCCGCCCCAACCTCCGCCTTGTCCAGAACCTTGGCCGGAGCCTTGGCCGCCGCCCCAACCTCCGCCTTGCCCAGAACCTTGGCCGGAGCCTTGGCCGCCACCCCAACCTCCGCCTTGTCCAGAACCTTGGCCTGAGCCTTGGCCGCCGCCCCAACCTCCGCCTTGTCCAGAACCTTGGCCTGAGCCTTGGCCGCCGCCCCAACCTCCGCCTTGTCCAGAACCTTCGCCGGAGCCTTGGCCGCCGCCCCAACCTCCGCCCCAGCCTTGTGCAGAGCCTTGACCAGAGCCTTTGCTACCGCTCCAGCCTCCGCCTTGACCACTGCCCTGGCCACCACCTTGTCCGGAGCCTTGGCCTTGTCCGCTGCCCCAGCCAGAACCTTGACCACCACCAACTACGCCAGCACAACACGCGGAGCCACTGCCTTGACCAAATCCTTGTCCGCCTCCTTGGCCTTTACCTCCTCCTCCGCTGCTTTGTCCGAAACCCTGGCCGCTTCCGCCTCCCCATCCACTTCCTTGACCTATGCCTTGTCCTTTTACAGCACCCCATTTATTCCCCTGTCCGAATCCTGATGCTTGACCCCAAGCCTTTAAGTCATTGAGACTACCATTGCCACTGGAACCCCAGCCCCAGCCAGATCCGCTTCCAGCCGTGTCGTTGGCTGAACTTGACCAGCCCGAGCCGCTCTGACCGGAGCCAGATACTTGCCAAAAACTCTCGCCGGTGCCACTCCAGGGGCTTCTCAGAGGCTCGCTTGAGTTGCTTCCACTGCCCTTAGGCGTCTTCTGACCGAAAGTGGACACAAGGGAAGACTTCTGGCCACCTGCCGTCCACGTGCCTATCTGCGGTTTTCTTGTCAGTTGATAATCTTCCGTAATTGTGGCGTTAGCAGAAGGTGCTTCAGTAGTCACGACCGTGGAAGCAGGAGTTGTTGCGGGCGCTGGTAAAGTGGGTGGCTGCTTTGTTTTGTGCAAAGACAGGTGTGCTACTTGCGACGACCCAAGAGCACAACACACAAGAGCCAGCAGCAGGTTGTTGACGACCATAGCCTGAGCGAGATGAATGAAAAGCATAAAAGAGCTGAAAAACAATCTTGTGCAGAGGTGAGTAGAGAAAGGCAAACGTTACGGCAACGCAGATGCATGATCGTCCCTTTGGCGTGGCACAGGAAAAGCATCAGGAATATTAATAGTGCAAAATACACCAGGATACAAGAAGATACGCAACATGCAGTGATGTTATGCTTATTGTTAATTGATGTCGAATGAACACTTAAGTCAGGCTCGTGCGATAACACTAAATGTTAGCGTTAAAAGTTAATGCAAGTTTTCACGAAAATGGTACGCTCATCAAAGTGCTATAAGCGATCATTTTAACTGTGCAACGGCACAGCTCCACGAAGGATTTAAATTCGATTACTTGCATCTGCCGTGCGGGTTTAAGCCCCTGCCGCAGTACGTTACGATTTCCGTAGTTTACAAAAGAGAATCGCCCAAGTGCTTCATATTAACTGCGAGCTCTTTTTTAACGATACCTTGCTGGCGAAAAGGCACAGGGCCTTCGCAACAGCCCATACAGCAGAAACATTTACTTACGGTGCCGTCTCCAGGCGCTTCTCTGGTCAATGGGCGAACTTCGACTGAAAGCTGTACTTTTTATACGTTCATATCAATCAGCAAGATAGGATGAAGAAAGCCAGAGGCCGTTGTCTTCAAAAAGAAACAAGTTTTATCTTTAAAAATGTAGCACATGCACGGAAGTCCTATGGGGTGATAATTAAGATATGTCTTGATAGGCTCAACGTGTACGTCACAGACACATGACTTGGCCATAAACTATACGATCACGGCGTACGTCACGTGCAAGTGTGAATTGATTTGGCTGATTCATATTTCGCAGAGGGTTTGTCACGAAGAAATAATTGAAAGTATTGGGACACTTGACAACTGCTTTTTTTCCTTTTCTGGTTATTTATCTCATTATCTCAGAGAGAAATGCACCATCCTATGTACAAGATTCCTTACATTCTGTACAAGGGGATAGTATGTATTCATATTTAATATGACAGATGAATCATAAATCCCAGATCGTGAACATATAGACACCGTTGTCATTATTTTCTTTCATTCAAGCGCAATTTCGACGTTTGTGGTGTGGTACCAAAGTTACTTTTTATAAATCAATGCTAATGCGAATTTTACTGTGTTGTCAGCAATTGCTTGTAGAGATGTGAGTTCTTACCAGATCCACTGAATACGAGAAATTGTTGAACCTCTAGCTATTACGCACTAAGCCAATTTATTTTAGACAACATAAGTACTGTACAGGCACCAAGCTCTTACAACTCTAACGTCACGTGCGAAAGACGAGATCGCGTAGCTAATCACTTTTTCTAAAGAAAAAAAAACGTATAACGTGATTCACGTTCGCCATATAATTGTATCAATCAATAATGGGATAAACGTTTCCAGAACCAAGGCAAGAAGGAGGGGGGAGTACAACTTCCCCGAAATTCCCCAATTTTGCATTTGCATATATACACTAACACATACAAACGCACTCACGAGCATACGTAAAGTATAATTGACCCCCCCCTCACGAAAAGATTTCTGGCTACGGTATTGTTGATTGGCATGGTGTTCGAACCATTGATGGACTTCGCTTATTATATCGCTGCAGACATCTGAACGCAAAAAGCAAGGACAGTTCGACTACAACGAATTGATATCCATCTGCAGATATTATGTATTGTGCACGGCAGCTTTCGCATTGAACGTGAACAATAGTGATAGAGCGGCTTGCTGACTTTCTTGCAAGTCGAATACAGATTTGATTTAACTGCAGTCGCGAAGGAGACTTTATTTGACAGATTATTTATTGCATAATCAGGTGGTCTAACATGCAGGCCCGGCGTACATATCATAGTAGCAGAAAAAGTTTACGGGTGTAATTTCAAGAACTACTGTTTTGATCTGCCGTTGCAATGAACGGTCGGCTAACTCGCACAAAAGTCTGGCTGATAATGTATTTCAAGTATATTGGGTTTTCCTCTTAAGTTCTTTTATTTTGTGAGATTAAATCGCAATCTGAAAATAAGATCTTGTGAGGAACCGGTTTATTCGGCCAGGCTCGAGCTCAATCACGCCGGTGATGATATTCTTAGATGAAGAAGATGTACAGGTGATGATGATTACAAAGAGAATAAAGAGTCATTCGCTTGTCGCGCTCACACTAATTCCCCCGCGCGGTGAAAGCGGCCGCCTGGTCGCTTGACAGTATTATGAAATGCGTCGCGCATAAGGCTTTAAACGAGATACGTGCACTATCTCTGTTCCTCGGCAACGTATGATCAGGACTAGCGCTAAGAGGAGAAACGCGGTAATTGACAGGAGATGTCTGTTCGACCACCGTGTATGGCCCAATGAAGCGACTGATGAATTTGTCGCATAGGCCGGGGACGCGTAGTGGAGTCCATAGAAGAACTTCGTCACCAGGGGAAAAACTCACAACACGGCGAGACGAGTCGTAGCGAGATTTTCGAGTGTCTTGAGAGAGGCCGGTGTTAACACGGGCCTGGTGAAGGCAGTGTGCGAGACGAGATAGGAATTCTTCAGAGAAAGGAGCCGTCGAGGGTGCAGGGGCCGAAAGGAAAGAGACATCCAGAGCGAAACTCGGCGAGCGACCATGGACGAGAAAAAATGAAGAAAAGCCGGTAGTGCGTTGAGCAGCCGTATTATAGGCGAATGTCACGAAGGGTAGAATTGCATCCCAGTTCGTGTGGTTGGGGTGAATGTACATGGCGATCATGTCCGATAGGGTCCGATGAAACCGTTCAGTCAATCCGTTGGTCTGCGGGTGGTAGCTAGAAGTGGTCTTGTGAACAGTGTTCGAGGCACGCAAAACTTGCTCGACAATGGAAGATAGGAAGACTTTGCCACGATCACTGAGGAGAATGCGTGGAGCTCCATGACGCAAAAAGATGTGGCGAAGAAAGAAATCGGCGATCTCAGTGGCAGTCCCAGATGGTATAGAAGCTGTTTCTGCGTAGCGGGTAAGGTGGTCGACTGCCGTGACAATCCAGCGATTCCCATTGGATGATATAGGAAGAGGGCCATACAAGTCGATTCCAACGACTTCAAAAGGTGAGGCGGGACAAGAAAGAGGTTGCATTAAGCCAGCCGGAGCAGTTGTCGGTCGTTTTCGCCGTTGGCAATGGACACAGGAGGCGACGTACTTAGCGACGGCTGAAGAGAGGCCAGGCCAAAAACAACGACTTCGTATTTTGTGGTAAGTCTTGTGGTAGCCTAGATGAGCAGCGGTTGGATCATCATGAAAGGCTTCCAGAACTTCACGTTGCAGAGAACGTGGGATGACGGGTACCCACTTGTTGCCATCGATGTGGTAAACGTAGCGACATAAAGCATCACCGACAAGCTTAAATTGTTTAAGTTGTCGACGGAGTCTGGCGTTTGAGGAGTAGTAGAGCCGGTCAAGCGGTCAACAATGGTGCGGCAGTATGGGTCGACACGTTGTTGTGAAACAAGGACGGATAGGGTGGCAGGTGATGAACTTAGCGCTGCGATTGGAGAGGTGCTGTTGTTTTGGAGTATCGATGGTGAATTGCTTCCGCTGGGCAAAGGACAGCGCGATAGAGCATCAGCATCTTGATGCTTCTTCCCAGATCTGTAGGTGACATCGAAATCATACTCCTGTAAGCGAAGCGCCCAGCGACCAAGGCGACCCGATAAGTTTTTCAGCGATGAAAGCCAGCATAGGGCGTTATGGTCGGTCACGACGGTAAAATGACGGCCGTGGAGATATGGTCGGAATCTTTGCACTGCCCAAACAACAGCAAGGCACTCCTGCTCTGTGATAGTGTAGTTCTTTTCTGGAGCGGTAAGAGCACGACTTGCGTAAGCAACGACGCGTTCGCGTGAGTTTTTGTCACGCTGCAAGAGTACCGCACCGAGACCATGACTACTTACGTCGGTGCGAAGGATGGTGGGTGCGGTGGAATCGAAGTGACACAGTACCGGATCCGACGTGAGGGCTTGCTTCAATGCCGTGAAAGCGCTTTCGCAGTCTTCGGACCAAATGAAGGGGACGTTCTTTGCGAGGAGTTGATGGAGCGGAGACGCAAGTTCCGCGAAACCACGTATGAAGCGCCGGAAGTAAGAAGATAACCCAAGAAAGCTGCGCAGGTCCTTCTGACGTAGTGGACGAGGAAAATCGAGGACAGCGGCAAGCTTCTCGGGGTCGGGCCGAATTCCTTCTTTGCTGACAAGGTGGCCGAGAACCTTGATTGTCTTGCTAGCAAAGGTACATTTCTTGGTGTTAAGCTGTAGACCGGCTTTTGCAAGGCATGTGAGGACTTCGTCAAGACGTTGTAGATGCTGCGAGAACGTGGATGAAAACACTACTATGTCATCGAGATAGCACAGACATGTTTTCCATTTCAAACCACGCAATACGCCGTCTATCATGCGTTCGAAGGTGGCGGGCGCATTACAGAGTCCAAAAGGCATCACATTGAACTCGTACAACCCATCTGGCGTTGAAAAGGCGGTCTTCTCTTTATCAGACTCCGACATTGGTATCTGCCAGTAGCCTGACCTAAGGTCGAGGCTGGAAAAATACTCTGCGCCCTGTAATGAATCCAGTGCATCGTCGATCCGAGGGAGGGGATAAACATCCTTGCGCGTTTTGTTTAGCGCACGGTAATCGACGCAGAAACGCACTGTCCCATCTTTCTTTTGAACGAGAACAACTGGGGATGACCAGGGACTCGAGGAAGGACGTATGATGTTGCGTCGTAGCATGTCTGAGACGTTTTCCTCGATGATCTTGCGTTCTGCCTGAGACACGCGATATGGACGCCGATGTACAATACGAGAGCCGTCAGTCTGGATGCTGTGAGTAGCGGTGGTAGTCATGCTGAGGGCGGGCGAGTTCACGTCAAATAGAGAACGGTGTCTATTTAACAGGGCGAGCAAATCTTCAGTTTGATCAGGTGTTAAGTCATTGCTTATTGTCGCCGACACAGGTG